TCTGGGAGTTGAAGTCCACTCATCTTAAAGTGGCCAAGTTTGGACAACACTGCACTAAGCTGAACCTGTTCATGTTCTGGGTATCAAATAAATTCCTCAACCCTTGGAATCTTTCTGATTCGTACAGAGTGCCCTGTATTTTAAAGCGCCTGTATGGCTGAAGTAATTTCACTTTATTAGAAAGCCCAAAGAATTGCTAAACAAAGTGGATTCTTTAATAGCTCAGGTGCAAATGATTAATACAAATATCCATACCCTCTCATTTCTAATGGTGAGTCATGTCTAGGATCAAAATCCTCCGTGGTCATCATCAATCCCAAAGCAGCTTCCACCTGGGTTTAGCTGCAACTTTTTCCTTAGTCTCCAGAGGTAATAGCCCAAATAGCTGCTGAAAGAGGAGGCCCAATAAGACATTTCTTTTTGGCATTCAGGAATAATGTGAATCAAAGATTTGCTGAGGGGCAGTGAAAAAGAGTGGGATGGCATTTCTCCATTCCCAGTAGCAGCTTCTCGTAGACACTGCTTTATTCAGAGAAAGACTTGAGTATGTGGGGTTGCTCTGTCTCTGTTTATTCTGCTCTGGGAATATGGGGACCCTCTTACAAAAAAATCACTTATTCTGTCTTTATTAAACATGGATTAATGGAAATGACAAGGCTACTTCTATGTTCATGTTTGGGAACGGTGAACTTGAAATGGTTACTGACTATCTTAATCTGTCTATACTGGGATGGAGGAGATTATTACTGCCAAGGTTCCCTTGAGTGGAGCGCAAACCTAGGTGAATACATGGCCACAACTATCTGTTTTTTCAGCATGATATTGTTTCAAACCAATTGCCAATGCTTTCTTCCACAATGTTTATCAACCTCTCAGAGTAGACTACAGCCCTGGAATTTCTTAATGGTCTCCCATCCAAGTACTACCCAGGTCTGTTTCTGCTTTTTCAAAATCAGCCAAGGTCAGCTAGGTGCTACAAGTCTGCTGTGGCATGCAATTCATTATTCACTATTGTAGGAATTATTAGGAGAGTTTTGCCATGTGGGTTTAAGATAAGGACAGAGATGAACTAAGTAGGTTAATAAGTTAATTGGAATGTCTAGTTCAGATTTCTAATTTAAAGATCTTTATAGACTTTAGATAGGAATTCTGCTTGTAGTCTCAATACATTTGGAGGACTAGTTTGGGGTAGGTAATACTAAGGTAGGTTGACAGTCTTTTGATGGATGTGCCCATAAACAATTTGGGTTTGCAGGATCCACAGTGGGGGCAGGAGACATTGCTATAATGTGGATTTTGGCCAGAATTTGGGGGGGGTTCTGAGAGGATGTTGTTTTAAAACTTGATTAAGCCTATTTTAGAACATGCAGTAGTTGTTGAGCTTTTCCTGTTTCAGTGTTGGAGGAAAGCATGCCACCTTTTTCAGTAATGTTCAGCAGGAGCTCAAGAACGAATGGACCTTGGAACTTCACATTGCCCACTGCCTTCATGCTGGAGAAGCATGAAATGTCAAGATGGTGTCTTCTTGTCACAGGCTGATGTTGGTATGGGGTGGGAAAAAGGAAGAATGTGATTCAGCTCTTCTGTTTTGTAATGTAGTCTATGCCAGACTATGGGGACTTTACTGAAGCTTTGCACTGCAGGCTACTGAGAGATGGTGAACAGTTTTCTGAAATAATCTGTAAAATCATATTTCCTGCAAGAGGAGGTCATGGCATTTGGGACTATGCCAGTTCAGAACAGGTATGTTACTAAGTTAAAAATCCCTGCATATTATGAGTTAATGCGTTAAGGAAGGAGCTATGTGAAATCTATCCATGATGCTATTTTCCCCAAGAGCCAACTATTCCTGACTCTAGCCAAAGTTGCACCAGCCAGAATTCACCCACTCCTGTGTAAAGTCAAGGTTTCTGTCCCATCTTAGCCCCTTACAGTCTCTCTGAATATCCAAGCTCACAACCAAAGTGAGGCACTCAGGAAGACCTCTGCTCTTCTAGGATCCTGTTCATCTGGGCTGCTATCTGGGCTAGGCTTGAAAGAGTTAACGGAGGGGCTTCTTTCCATGGGAAGGCGAGCGGCAAAAAGAGAAGTGTCCTGCATTCCCAAAAATGCGCCCTGCCAAAAGCAGCCGTTTATATCATGGGTCGTTGCCGCGTTCCCACACATTTTGCTCCTAATTAACGTCCTGCCGGACAGCTGAGCTGTTTCAAACAGGAAGCTGTTTATAGATAACGCTTGCAAACGGTTGGGCCTGATTTGTTGAATGTCGAAGAGCAGGAGTCGAGCCCGCTTCAAATTAAAACCTATCGGGCTTTTGTAAATAGTAGCAATGAGGTCCATCTGTGGTGCAGCGCCCTTTCAGTCAGCAGCTCAGCCTCGGCGCCTCTCCGCTCAGCAAATCTAAGGTAGGTGATGCTAAGGTGGTTGCGCCAGCCCTAAACCCCGGCTTAAAAGAGAGTAGGCTGGATAAAGAGGAGACTGCTGATTTTCAGCTCAGGGCTGAGTTGGGATCAGTCTGGAGCTGTTGCAATGCAGGTCATCTAATGTCAAGGGATATAGAAGACTGGCTCACATCTTCGCATTTTTAAAAGCTGTTAAACATCTGAAATGGATTTATATGGGGTTCAGGATTGTGTAGGAGTGTATTTTTTAGTTTACACTATGCTATTGCAAATGAGTTGCTTCTTGGTACAGAAAGTGTAGGAGAAAGCATAAAAGGAACATAGAGTGGTAAAAGAAAAAAATATCTCTTTTTGAGGAGCTAGTTAAAAGACATAGATAATATACTGCAAAAGTACAAAGCATAGTCTTCTCAACCTGTACAGTATCTGGAATTGAAAAGTTTGGCTCTGGCTCATCCCTCTCCCCTGCCCCCACATTGCTAAGGAGTATAGAATATGGAATATGGGATGTTGGTTAAGGAGTATGGAATACAGTGCTCCAAATTTAATTTTTCTTCTCAAGCAGCTGCTAGAGATCTGGAGCATCCTTCCCTAAACCAGTGCTCTTCAGATAGGCAAACTATAAAATTATCACTTCCAACTAGGCTATAATTTACAGTCTTGTACTTTGAACCCTGACCTGTCAGTGACTGCAGGTTGGCATCACTCAGGACTGAATGTGATACCCTGTGCATTCTCACAAGCAGGTTTCTGGTATTGTATTGTATTACTACCTCTAGCCAATTTTTTGAATAGATCCCCCTGCTTTGGAAAAACACTGTGGACCCCTGTTCTGAAGCAGTTAGCTAAAATTAAGTGCTACTTCTAAGAAAGCCTATTGCAGGAAAAGGAACAAAAAAGGTAGGCTAAATTGAAGAAGCAAAAACAGAAGGTGAAAGAGCTTTGAAAATAGTGAAAAAAATGCAAATAGATGGGTTGGCAGAGTAGGAAAATGATATGGAGATGAAGTAAAGTGAAAGAATCAGAGAAACAAAAGATCAGAGAAAAGGATGAGTTTAAAATACTGTAAGTGTTCTTGTAG